GGGACCACCAGGCTTCGCGTTTTCTACCAGGACTAGCACAAAGCTTTGACCTCACACCTTTGCAAGTCGCATTGTGTCCGGTCCCACACCGGGACGGGTGAACAAGAAGCAAGAGGTTCAACTGTTAGCGTGAACACCAATTGTCCATGCTTGTAATCAAAGTAGCCACAGGATAATATAACTGTTGATGTGCAATTCTTGTATACATGCGATAACTGAGCTCCAAGCTTTTATAATGAGCGCTTACTCAGCTAGAATACCTGGCACTTCGGCACGCAATCAGAACATCAACGTTTATCGGGGATTATGCGCTCACAGCGTTGTCGAGAGCGTCCACCTTATCGCACCCGCACACCAACACGCACAATTGCATGACCAATGTCCACGTTTGTGCTCCAAATCGATGGACAGCATTAGACACGGCTTCTCCAAAAGTACTGTTAACAGTTTTCTTAATTGGCGTTTATGGCTTGTCCTAGGCCGGGGTGATCGAAGTCCACTTTCTGCAACTGTTGTGTCAGACTTTAGTGCTCTAGAAAAATATATGAGCATTTTCACTAAATGGTGGATGTTGCAAAGCTTTTCCTTAGGGAGCGTACACAATTTTCGCCGCATCCATGCGGCTCGTCTTTGGACAAACTGCCAAGTTTGCGATCGGTTGCCAAATTGGCACCGTAATATTTGCACATCCTCTGTGACGAATGAGCTGGTGCATTTGAGGATAGAAGCATCCTTTCTTAGATATAACGCTGTAGCTTTTCTCGCAATGGCAAACAGGCTTTTAATAACTCTGGCTTCTCTAAGCTAGCCAGTCAAAAGTGCACGTCTACTAATTTATTCGAATGCATTCGGATAGTGTAGATTCAATCCGAGGGCATAAATCAATGTCTACACCTAAGTAACAGGTATTAGAGGCTACAATATTGTCGGAAAAAGCGATGAAATAATGTCGCCAGCGTTACATAAAATGGCTCGTATACCGTTTGCTTTTTAGTCGGGTACGCCACACGCTGCAAACATCTATCTTTAGGGTCTATATTATTCGGTTATTTGCTGCATTTTTACTAGCCTTCCGTATCCTGCGCAAGTTTAAATATGCCAATCTTAGCGAAGATCGTGGTCCTTAAATAAAGCGGCGAAATTGACTCTGTGCGCTTGGATAGACTAGAATTGTAGCTGAGGCTAGAGTGACGCCATTCGTTTGACAGTGAGCAAACGCTAAGAAGGTGATGGATAATCGAACCAAGAAAGGTGAGCGCAAAACATTGGGAGATTGAAGAATAGTGAAATAAACGTGAGAAACCAACGGAAGCATAAGGAAGAATCCTTTATGATAAGTACTCCTGCGCAGTAGCGACTTCTTAGTTACCCGTACCTTCTGAGACACCAGACATGGTACGGTTAACTAACCTTTGCATCAGTAGACTGTGAGAAGGGAATACCGTCAGCTTGCCTAAACGTGGACGGGACAGCGTTTACAAGTTTTAACCAGAGCCTTTGGTTCATAAATATGAGAACAAAGTAGACCGATTTTGTTAGTGAGCCAAACGGTGTCCGTTTAAGTAATACGCAGGCGCATTCCTTCTAACTCCACATTTGGATGACCGGGAGAAACTTTTAATGAACTTTTCCTTAAAAACGCTAGTGCAATTGGCTCTGAGAAAGTAGTAACCACTACTCAACCCCGCTTCGCTTTGAATTCCAGACGCATTGCGATGGCTGGAATTAGAAAAAGAACGTAATCCCCCATCCTTTTTTCGTTACTGGTCCGGACTCTCACACCCGCACTATTTAAGGATAGCGATGGTGCCTTCTGTAAAACACTAACCGACCTAACAACACGAGTTGCTTCTTCCCTGTTTGGAATCATCAGGTATAGTACGCAGGATTTGAGACTGGAATCCGCTAGTTACTTTTTGAATTGCAAATGACCTGCTCACTGAGGTACCGAGCTTGGCGAGTGATAAGTGTGTCAACTATCAAACGGAGTGTTCTGGGTAAGAATTTCAGCTCCGGCTCACTCCGCTTGATGCTCTAAATGAGGACGAGGCGTGTCATATATTTTGTTGTTGGGATATGGTCTACGTGACCAAGATAAACACGTGCATTATGCGCGGGTCGCTGGAATCCAAACGTTATGTATGTGTTTGCGCTATTGAACAACGGAGTTGAGGGCCATGCTGTGATCGCGTGCCAGCAGATGTATTGTGTCGCACCAGTTTCAAATACCCCTTCCGAAAAACTTGTTCTGAGCTAAACATTTTCAGAGGATAATTGAAAATTTGACCACCTTATCCAACTACAAAGTAAATCAGCAAAGTGTGTGCAACTCATGTAAATTTAAAGCTGCGATAGCTCTTTAAACAAAGGCTGCTACTCTCTACATGTACGGACATCTCTCCGCGACTTGGGTAATTCGAACGCCACAGCTGTTCGCGCAAATCATCTTTTCTTCACTTGGAACACAAAAACCTCCCACACTGAGATGATCAAATGTTGGGCAAGGCGAAACCGCGTGCATTTGGTAGACTTTCGTAGCAAAAGTACATTAGCTCGACCTACTACGTAATTGCCTTAGAATTCAACCAGTGCCTCTGAGAGACAAAATAAGCTTGGTTGCGCTGAAGCGAAAGGTAGCACAGCTCATCGTCATTGTCCATAATACTGCAAACCTAGAAAATATTACACTCAAACCGCGCTTGGAGACAATGGTCACACATGCAAATTGTTGGATCGGTTCATCCGAATTCAGGATAGTGTGGCAACCACAAGAGAAATAGCAAGTTGTGGAATTCGTTGTCCTGCATTCGGTCAACATGATCCAGGCTGTGTCTATTCTCACGTTGGCCATGATTTACTGTTTCTATAACACACATTATTGCTTGTGGAATTTTACCGCCTTTCTTAAGCTACTAACTACACACGCATTTGGTTAACCAACTCATTCCTTTTCCCTTGTAATCCAACTGTAGAAATCAGAAAATGTAGGCAAAGCTATCATATGTAACTAGTGTATATCTAAATTGCGAGCAATAATTACCATCATTTGCAGGGGTGTTGAATATTCAAGACCCCAATTCTATCAGTTATGGGGACAATTAAATTGTTTCCCAAGTAGGGATTTATGGTGCTGCTCCATTACAACACTACATTTCACCACCGACCGATTATTCTTGTGTTGATTTGGACAGATAAATTGGAGGTAGACGGAGTCCAACATGTAACCCGTCATATGGTGGTTGATTGCCTACGTCTTCATTAGTAAGCCGCAGCATAGCGAGCACCGCTTGACACACCGGTTAGAATTTCGCTCCAAAAATATCATGATCTTATTCGAGAATGCGATTACAAATTTGAACACACGGCTAGCAGTCCAAGGTCTATTAATAAATGTATAAAATCTGTGTTAAGTGTCGCTCATCGGGCCTTGACTTTTGGATCAAGGCGTAAACCGTCAACTACAGTGTACCCGTTTCCACTCTCAGCTCAGGTTAATTCTACCTGACTAGTTATCATAAGGACGAAATCGGTCGGTCTTGAAGACCATTGTTGGCTGACAACAGTTCCATGAGACCGTACTCCCGATGCTGTTCAAGAGATCAAAGTGGCTTAGGTTTGCTTCAAAGCCGGCTGTAGCTTAAATCAAGTTTGCCTGTCCCAATCCAGACGCACGGCCGGGACACCATGATCCAGTAACGAAATTCTAACCGCTGTGTAGCTGCTGTGTAACTCTGGCTAAATGACCCAAACAAAGAACGTCTACCACTGCTCCGGGTTCCCCTCTCAGATCAGGCTATCTCCAAATGACAAATCCAAATAAAAAGGAACCTTTAGGTCGTTGAGCTCAGTGTTAGCAGAGTGCACTTCTGAAACCCCAAATTGGATGCCATGCAACTGAACGAAATGGCATGAGTTTGTTTTGTGGAAATTATGAGTGGGAGTCCAAATGCACACAGACTGCAAGTACCTAATGACCGAACATTAAATGGTCTCATATTCACTGATATTAAATTACTATACATATCACCCATTGTGCTCCACCAAATTTCAATCTAGTATTACTTACTTCTAGACTGACCGAATAAACTACACAGAATCACGATGATCTCGTGAAAACAAACCTAGGGATTTCATAGGGTTAAACAGCGTTTACCTGTTATGATCAAAGTATAAAGTCAAATTGTAATTGCACTACATCTAATTTACATATAATGGTGTACACAGTGTCAGCTGCAATAACGTGCTTGTGCAGCTTCTCTACACCTGAAAGACATGATCACATGCCACTCAAAATTGCGCCTAAGCATATGAGGTCCTATGGATTATTATCCTGCCAACTTTCTGTAAGAAGAATAATTCTAACTACGCACACCATTCTCAAATACCTGCACATTATGCCAAGATAAAGAAACACTTCACCCACCGATATGTGCTAACGCTGGAAATGCTGACTTTTGTTCAGAAATGACAGCATGAGAGTTACTATGGCAGTTTTTCGTCACCATGAAGTTCCCTGAGAATTTGCCGTTTAAAATATCTTTCTCACTACAGTACAACTTCATTAAAATTGATTGTTACGTGTACGAATCCAAAGCAAAATAAGTGCTGCTGACTAGTGGAGTACCTAACTTGCCTCTTGTTCTTTGGATAGCAAAAACGTAAAGAAAGAATAACCGAATAAAATACAGTAAAGCCTCCGACGTCGACCATATCTATATCCTGCCTTTCTCTCCAGATGATCGGTATTTTTCATTAATGGGATATTCAACCATGTAGACTTTGTAATTCCAAACAGTTTCATGCTGACCACCTCCCTCAGTTGACCACAGTGGTAAATCCCTTGAGTGGTTAAATAAGGTTGATTTTCCTATTAATGCGAATACATTAGGAACGTAGTTACAAATTCCAGCTGCTTGAAATGATGAGCACTTGGACAACATACTTTAGGAATCATTATATGGTGAAAACATTATAATTTCTGTTATAGCAACACAACCTACCACTTCTGGGATGGCCTCCAACGAAGACCAAAGGCTTTTCGGATTCAGCTGCATTACTTGGGCAAAAGTGGTATTCACTGGGCTTGCGGTTGTATAAAATATATGTTAGCGATCCCACAGCGCTAAATGTAAAAAGGCATTTAAGGAGCCACCGCGATTGAACTGAAATAAAGCATACCAGTTTGATTAAATAAATGTAGGAATGCGGAACTAATTAAGTAAGTTAAAGTCTGTGGCATAAAACAAAAGGTCAAAGTAGCGATTTCGGCGTAAAACAAACACTGTTGATACGCCATACACATCAATCTTGCACCCGTGTGAATAAGTAATACCGGAATTGCTGTCAAAAGGTGTAGGCTTATCTGTTGTCTCCTCTTCATCCGTGAATAGTTATTAATACCATATGCCAAAACTCTCTTCTGTGCTGGATTTTGTATTAGTCGAAAATACATTTAGTACAATGCCAATTTTCACCTTGAAAAACCATAGGTTCCCCCTAAATATTAACCCGTCTATGCGTAATGGCGATTCCTCAAGAAGCAATACAACCGTACCCGTGAAAAGCAGAAGTTAAATTACACAGAAGAAGCAGGTACACGGTCTGCTTGAGCCAGGGAAATTCTACAAAATCTTGATGAGCTCAAATTCCTTTTGGAAATCTGCTGAAAGTTTGCGGTCACCATTAAAGTACAGCTTTTACGAATAGATGATTACTACTGGAGATAAACATTCTTGTATGTGTCTTGATGAATGAGCATTAAACAGTTAGAACCTTATCTTCTTACTCAGCTTTGTATAGCAGGTAGCTCGTACGCTACTTGATGCACATTGAAGCAGCATAAGTTGAATTCGAGCAGGGTGGAATAACTAAAGAGACATTATTTGTTAAAATTGGATTTCGGTTGACATCCATTCCTTAGCTAAATTAGTCTAATTATGCGATGCCAACTCGCACTTCCTGTTGAATATTTTGAATGGAAAGCTTCCCAGAAGTAATGTGGTGTAGTATTTTGTCTGAATACGAGTATTCATAATAAAAGCAGCTTACAAACGAAGGTGGATGATCCAATCCCTAGTTAGATGAAACACCGAAAAATGCAGAAACCAAAACTGCTCACTGCAATTTCGATTTGCTCTTCACAGACAAGCCTACTGCTAACCATTATTTATTACACACGCTTGCTGATGCAAACAGGAATAGCCGCATAATTGTTGTGAAATGTAACTTGCTTTTTTTGAAATACTTAGATAACGGCTACAATTATCTAGTGGGACTAATAGATTTGAAGCTGATGAATTTATCTAAAGTTTTACTAACAAAACTTATAAGAACGTAATGAGCTAGTACAGCATTTTCAGCCTTTTGATATTTCCAGACTTTGCATAACGAAATTCAAGTGATTCAAAATTTAACAACTTTTATTTGTTTTGGATTATGAGAGTGCAAGGATGGATGCGTGTAGTGAGTGGATCCAATTTGCTAGCTGCACATGAAATTACCGATTCTGTGTAGCTGTGTTCCAAGTGCAAGGTGTATTTCATGAACTTCAGATCCGGCGATCAAAGATATCCACACTATTTGTGATACCAAGTCAAACTCCTTAACACTCAGGTCTACTGTTGTTCTTCATCGGAGACGTAAAACAGAGCTCTTCCCAATGAGGAAAGTGTGGCATTTTTGCGGAACCTATATGAGTCAAAACAGCTGATCTTGCAGTATTCATCTTTGTAAAAGACCAAGCTGATCAACATTATGTACCCTACCACACACCTTGTTGCCGCCTCCATCTTACACCAGCGTTTCACGACCACGAAGCAGGAAGGCATGTACTACAACCATCTACCCTCAACATTCCAGACACTAGAAAATCATTTCCGGTACCAAAAATGTCGCTGGTTCAACAAGAAAGTTATGTTTTAGTTTGAAGTAATGAAATCTTTCACCTTGTTATAATATGGAACGGGATAACATAACCGTATTTCAGATTACTGTTCAATGAAAGGCCGGAAAAAATGAACATCATTTGTGTGCGAAATATCTGGTTGTATGGCTTGGTTCGACGCTTTTAAAAATTGTGCTTTCGCAGAGAGCTGAAAATTCTGAGAAACTCACTCTTTAAAATATTCACAAAGACCGCGTTTTCTTTGCTTTGCTTGAAGCTTTTTCAGTCTCATACTGCGCGAAACTTAACGATCACAAAACTGGAGGCAAGTAGCCCACCAAAACGCGGGTATCCGCACTCTGGTAGTTTTCGGAATTGATACTGCCGCTGTCACGTAAACCTTGGCGTAATTTCAATGCACAATTATAGGCTACAATTGTCTCCGCCCGTGAAACCATCCAAAAAATTTGGGGTGTGTTTTGAAACCTAATTCGTGTAAATACTTTCATAGGTTGGTAAGCGATGCGTGCTAATCTGTTTGCACTCATGCTTTAGCTTGAAAATTACTGTTGGTGAACAATACTATCGTTGCGTACGTTGTTGTGTTTGTCTACCAAAGCATTCTAGCCATTAGCTAATTTCATTACTGTAGAGTAGAACGTTTGTTACTTGCCTTGAAATTTATGCGTTAGGGTAAAGGTGGTCCACAACAGAAGCTCCTAATACGGTGGAGTAACTATAGGCCTGCTTGGAAAGAAACAGATAAAGTCTGCCATTTGGATAGCATTGACAATGAAACCTAATAAGCACCGCCGGATAAAATTTATAACTTATAAGTCTGCAGCTAAGAAATAAATATCTCTCGTCCTTATCAGTCAAGCGCTTCCACTAAGTTTTATTATGGCGACTCAGCTCTTACGTTCACTTCATTTTTACTGTAGAAGCTGCCATAGGTAATGGTATTTTCGTAAAATAAAAAACAGGTCAATTATGCTATGTTCCAACACAAACCTGCAACTTCTCAGCAAGTGATCACTGATGAATTCATCAGTGATGGTTTCCACGAAGTCATGGTCATTTAGGAAATTTTTGAGTCTCTTTTTGTTACCGGTTAACTGAAATTGCTCCCTTGTAAAAGGGAGAGAACACCGCTTGATTCCACACGTAAAAGGTCTGAATGTAAGGATATACCTATGGAAGTAGGTAGTTGGAACACATCCGTCAAACTCATCTTTGTGGGCCCTGAGGAATGCTATTGCTCACTCATTACCACACATTGCCCCAACACACGCGTGCCCACAAAATGCTTTTCACGAACACGGAAATATTCATGAAATCTGTTATGGAAGATTTTGAGAAAAATAGTGGCTCCGAACGCATTTCCTTGAACAACTTTTTATTATTTATCAGATATGAATAGAGCATCATTGCTTAATCAGTTCCATTTGGTACGGGAATCTCGACTTTGACTGGCTGCTTCTTCTGCAAATTAGATATCTGTGCAATTCAGCAGTGCAGGGTACAACAGGTTTCCCTCATACTTCCGGCTTTAAAATCTGTTAGTAGGAAAGTGTTTAATACCAGAAACGATTAATTTTATTTTTGCGCCAAACAGAAGAGGCGGTATTGCAGGTGTTTGGAAATAACACGTATTTTCGAAAACAATAAACCCTGCAGTGTTAAAATAAATACGCTTGTTCATACTGCATAATTCTTGTAAGTGACTAAGCCACTGTGATAAGGCGAAGTAAACCATTGTTGATAAAGGCTTGCCAGCGACACGTGCCTTTGATCTAGTCCAGCCATATCGTCCGGCACATTATGATTAATGATAATGCAATATTCCAAAGCAGCATGATGGTTTCCAGTATTTTATCAAAACATTTAATGAGTTCTAACTATTGATCGACCTGCCAGCTGGTTTACTAAGCGGCGTTACGTTTATTTCAGTAAAAAGCAACAATTCGCTTTTTTCTCCTGGGTAGCCAGGATATAAAAATATTGGGAACACCTCGAACAAAATAGCTTGTAACACCAAAAGTTATTAAAGAATATGTTTTGCGAAGATTTGTGAAGCACATTTAACTAAGTATGAAAATGTGACAAAGAATAGATGCCTTTCGAAGCAAATGTCTATCATACTGATAATTCTAGAATAGAAATGCATGGACTGGACGTAAACTTTAAAGGGAATCGATATTTTAACCATGCATTTTAGCATCATCAAGGCTCAATTTCGTTCGTTTCGGTTTCAAGTGAGCAAATTTGCAATAACTCAAGACCCGATTGTCTGATCGACTGTGCTTTTCCAATTTATATTGTAAAAAATATATTTGTATCTTTTACTGCTTTAAACCAAATATGCCTAACAGTTTTACACAACAAGGACATCAGACGGGTAAATCTGGATTATGTTGTTTTAAAGCCTATGGGAGGTTTGTTCGATTTTGGTACGTTAAACTTGGAACGTGTGGTGGTTGTTGCCCATCAAATAGTGTACTTTTCATTCTTTGATCCATTACGGTTTTAATTATTTGACCTGAATTTCACTATCTACTGACAATCGGTATTTTCTTCTTTGCATCAAATATCCATGTCATGGAATTGCCTGTGACGTCCCACAACTGATTAAATCGTACAGACAAAACGTATCCTTCCATCCGCGACTGTGTTGGATATATGCCCAGACGTTTGGACAACCCGCGATAGTTTGAAATTTGGAAGTAGAGCAACGGTTACCTTGAACTATACATATCCGATTGTTCGCTTCAAACCTCAACTTCTTGGTTGGTAAATATCTGTTGCTTGTGCTCAATTAAGGCAATGTTCGAAAGGCTTGTGGCCTTGAACTCTAAGCACTATGGGTTATTTGAAGTGTTCATTCCAGTTCAGATTAAGCGGGGAAGTCAACAAGCATCCGGAAAAGCGCAATCGTATGTTTTCCTAAATCAACTGGACATATCGCACTTTAATATTGTTGGAATCTAGCCAAAGGGATAATTATTATGATGCAGTGAATAAAATCACTGATCTGTGGATAATAACCGTAAACTGTCGCGGTAGGTAATCCCTGCAATTTGGCCACATGTTTGTAATAGACAAAACGAGCCATAAGTCTATTAGATGGCTGGTAGCCAATACCGATGAGCTTTGGTGGTTACCATAGTCAGCAGCATAAAAGTAACCTTTAAAGCATGTACCGACAACCTCAATCCGAGACATGCCAGATTTGAGGAAGGTAGACGCAACCTTCTACTTACAATTGCAGGAAACAGTTAT